TGATGAGATCTAGTCAAAGTTGAAGCTGCAATCGATGTCAAGGAAAATACAATGTTTTCTTTATAAGTAGTGTTTCGAGACTACCAGTAAATCAGTAATCTGAGATGTATTCACCCAATTTAGTTTAAGGTTATGAAGGACCGGTAATGGAATTTTTACACAATTATATGAGTAAAGCTTACATTTCAAATGATTTTCACATAGCCTTGCGTTCTCAAAAGGTGTGCTTATCCAGGTTGGATTGCAGTTTCGACCTGTGTTTCATAGGCATTCATGGCAATGCGGCGTACTGGTTAACGTTTCAAGATTACACGTTGAACTGTCATGGTTCGAGTCCCGCTTGAGGGAATGTTTGGACCTAAACGAGGTCGAAACTGCAGTCCACTTTGGATTAAGACACCTTTTGGGAAAGCAAAGCAATGTGAAATTCAATGGAAAGGTCAGCTCAACTCATAGCATTGTGGCAAAATTCTACTACCAGTCCTTCATCACCTTAAACGAAATATGGTGAATACATTTCATATTAATGCAACATTTATCCTGTTATATTCATGTATAGTCTATTCATTTGATTACGGAAGACTTAACTATTAATCCTTGATTGACCTCAAGCGAACTAGACCGACTAAATTTTCTATTCATACCAACTTATCCAAAGTTGGTCCTGATCAATCCTCTCCAACAGACTATTAGCCTACGGCGAGAACATTAATGCCGGGAGAGTGGTGCTGAGTATCTAGTAGTGAGAAAATAGAAACCTGGACCACCTTTTCCACTTTTCCATGTCCTCACTAGAGCAGCTGAAGATGATGCTATTACTACTTACTAAGTTATATCATCCCATCCTTTGAGTGATTTTTGGTTAGATTTAGAGAAACCTCTGGCGCGTTACCCTACCCTTCTTATTGAACGGACTAGCTAAGACAAGGGAAGCTTTAATAAGCTAACCTTTGCTCTAAGAGTCAGAGCTTGTTGAGATAAAAGTGAAATTTTAAAAAAGAACGACACTTTTTCACTATTTCGTCCATTAAGTCATACGAAATGGCTCTTCTCAAGGCCACCTAACGACGTGCTCATGAAAAGAAAATAAGATAAATAAAAGTTTGAATGGCTAAAATAAATGTCTCTATTAAAAATGACTCACTGTGCCCACTTCTCACGAAAATTGGCCACTTTCGCCTGAGCCGAATGAGTCTCAGAGGTACGGGTAGTTGCTATAGTTACGGCAGCCGGGCCAAAGATGGGATCACTTAGCTGAACATGATAGTGATAAGGCTGTAGGTCTGGCAACTTCCAGCCGATAGCCGCTTGACGAGTAGCCTCAAGTCCGACGGACAGTTCGACGGAATGTTCCATTTTTGCATAGCTTGGCTTGTCAAGCTCGCAGGTCTGTAGACAGACTGAAGGATCGAGTGTAGGTAGAGCAAGAGGCCACGGTGAGGCTGTAAACGGACTTCGGACTTCAAATGGTAGCCTGGAGATGGGCGAAGAGAGCCTACTGGGTTCTTGATGTGCATGAGACAAATCGGTGCATTCTGAAAAGCAACAGAAAGTGACTTGAATTTCGCAGCATCACCCCACCAGCCTAGGTTCACTTTGATCCACTAACCCTCTTAAAAGCAGACAAGTCAGGTGTTCCCCTTTTTTATCATTGCTTGAGCTCATAAATGAGAAATATGAGGCAGCTGGGAAGTGAAACTCTGTCAGAATTCCCTTAGCAGCAACTACTTTTAATAAATGTTATTAATTCATGTGGTTTATCGAGGAAAACAGGTAGTCAGGTATGGTTTAAGAGCGGAATAAACAGGTAGTTGCTAGTCGTAGGAAATCAGAATTTCACATCTACCATTGCATTGCAGATTAGGATAAGTTAATCGAAGATATGAAGACCAAGATGGTGTGGCCTTTTGTGTGATCGCAGTCTCCTTTCGTTGTAAAGAGGTTGTTTGACCTTGTTTTCGCAACTTGGTCATATTGGTAGGAAGAGTTAGAGGAACGCACCTAGTCCGGAGTCCATTGGCTGCATCGTCATTTCCAAAGTTGAACCATGGACGTGGTACATTCCCAAAAGTTTTGCCGACTACGATGACGGTAGAAAGTTTTGTAAAAAAAATGCGTATGCTTGATTGATAAACTGAAAGAGAATGAGGGTGATGAGCTCATGACAAAGAGATGATGGCTCAGTTTGTGAGCTCAATGATGGTTCTGGCCAAATTCACATTCGTTCAACGTGTCTATTAATCTCCCCAACCCAATAGGAAGTAATGGATTATGCAGTTCCCGATCGGCTTTTTCTTGTGTCATTAAGCCTCAATGACCCTAGACTGTCGGGTTCTGACTGGTGGTATTCGTAACCTTACTTGCACACGTACAGACTTACATCACATCATATCAATCATAGTAACTTTCGGACTTACGCAATCTCAGCCATGCTTTTTCTTGGGTCATTAAAC